TGGGCGGGGGTGGGGGTGGGGGGGGGGTTGGGGGCACATACCTGGTGTGACTTATAGAAGAACAGGCAGAAGTTTGTGAACACCACCCACAGCTTCTGCCACCCGTTGCTGTTTTTGAATTTCCTCAGCAGGTTCCCAGACAGCTGATTCTGAAAGACAAGTCGGCCTGTAAGGCGCACAGGTGGGGGCCCAGACACCTGGGCCTGGGGAAGGACCACAGAGGCTCCTCAGTCCAGGGGGGCTCCCTGAGACCGACTGACAATGGCCTTTCTCCCTGGTAGGTGGACCGCATGATGGGAGTAATTCTTTCTGTCACCTATTATGGGTTGAATTATGTCCCCATCTTCCCCAAAAGATGTGCTAACCCCAATACCTCAGAATGTGGCCTTGGAAATAGCGCCCTCACAGCTATAATTAAGAGGCAACTGTAAGGAAGCAAGGCAGGCCCTTAGTCCCCGTGGCTGACGTCCTTATGCGAGAGGAGAGGCGGACTGCAGTGATGGACGAGCCGAAGAACACATGGCCAGCAAACCACAGAAGGGAGAAGAGCAAGGAGGGATCCTCCCTTACAAGTGTTAGAGGGTGCTGGCCCTCTTGACACCTAGCTTTCCAGAGTCATGACACAAATCTCGCTGAGCCACCCCATTGGCAGCACCTTGTTATGGCAGCCACAGGGAGGGATCCAACACCCCTCAACCGGGAGCCCTCACTGAGCCCCCGCCAGCAGCTCCTGGCTGCCATCTAGTGGCCCAGGCAGAACACTGGCTTTTGGGAGAGGTGACCTCTCCCCAGGAGCTAAAGGAAGTGACTGGTAGAGACGAGCATTCCTGGGCGTGCTGGTAGCCCCTGTGGCCACACAGCACTGCTGTCAACTGCCAGGCAGCCAAGGCGACACCACGCGCAGAGGTGCACGTCCTCGCGGGCTCCCCAGCACCCCTCCGTCACCGGCTGTGAAGAGGACACTGAGGAGGCCATCCATTCCCAGGGAGACTCCCGAGGAGGAACATGGTGGATGGTCATGCTTGTGGATGTGACCGGGTTGTTTGTTCACTTACAGTGGTTACATGGCCATGTCTGCCACAATTAACAAGATGCGTAAAAAGTATTCTGAGTCTACTTCTATCCCTTTGGTACTTATATTTCACCCAATAAACATTTTAGAGTACCCATTTAAGTAAGGCGGGAGTTGAGACAAAAGGTTTAGATGTGTTTGCCCTCAAGTTGCTCACAGTCTGATGGGGAGACAGGACACAAGAAGTAGAGCCTGTCCTGTGGACTGGAGTCAGCTGAACCGAGGGGGATGCCACAGAGGGAGGGGGTGTCCTATCCCCATGTCTGGCTGCCACTCACCTACTGGCTGAAAGGCACAGAGAACTGGGGGAGGAGGGTGCCCTGGGTCCCAGCAGGTGATGGCACAACCAGAGTTGGGGATGTGGTGCTGCTGCAACATCACAGTGCATCACACAAGACGAGGAGGACAGCACACGTTCTTTTCCTTATAGTTCATGTGTTTATACTGAATCAAATTCCCCCAGATAGTCCGAAAGACCTCTCTCTCAGATGCCATTATCTGTGGAGCAAGCCAGCCCCACCGTGTGGTATACGCACTGGATTGAGGCAGGTTCAAGAGAACGCTCTACCTGCCACCACCTTCAATCCTTTCCGGAACACGCGAGGGTATAAACTCTGAGTAACAGCCTAGGTGCTCCTTAACCATTCCCACTGGCCTGGCCTCCCAAGGCCACCGAAACTGCCTCCAGTACGGTCTCTGAGGATGACTCTTAGGTCAGGACCAGTCTCCATCCTTGCCCCAGAGCAGCAGACACCCCCTTTCCTTGCTGTCTTTCACAGTGGCCTCCTCTCCCCTCTCCCCGGCTTCCAAACTGCTCAGTCCCTGTTGGGTGTAATGCATGTTCAAGTCCAAAGTCCTAATACCTGTGGAGGTGATCTTATTTGGAAACCAGGCCTTTGCAGATGTTAGCAAGTTAGGAGGAGGTCATTCTGGGGGGGGGGGGGGGTGTCCTAATTCCGATGACTATTGTCCTTATAAGGAGAAGACGACATTTTAACACAAGACATACAGCCATGCTGCCCAGTGAGACGGAGGTTGAGGTCAGAGTGATGAGGTCAGAGGGTTGCCGGTCATCACCAGAAGCCGAGAGGCGTGGAGCAGA